ATCTCACACGTGATCCCGCGTATCGTGCAAGGGTAGCAGCACCTCATCCCAGCGTCACCTCTTTTGACCGGGTTTCAAGATCACGATCTCTCTACAACTTCAAATTTAAAGTCTGCACTTTTCAACAACTTCACTGTATGGTATGAAACACTGGAATGACTTGTTGCATAACGGTGGCAAACGCCGTTTTAGGCATAAGGGAATAAAAACTGCTTAGAAGGACAATTCAATTACTTCGTTATGTAAACCACAATCTAGGGCTGTCGGTTCGTCGGCCCGCAAAATGAAGGCAGCAAATAAACCATCCGCTAATAGAGCGTTCATAGTTGGCGATCGTACGTGCGATCATGTGATTAAGCGATTAGGCGATTGGGCGATTAGACGGTGAAGACTACATAGGTATTGATTGATTTGCTCCACTCTTACAAGGGGAGGTCTTTCAGGTGGACCCGCGCTTTCTCAAAACGGTTTTTGCATGATGTAGAGGGATGTGCATGGAGTACAGAACTGTAGTCCATTTCCGCTAAATGGCCCTCTGAATGCCAAAAAAGGAGTGGGGAAGTGGTCCTTGGTTCGATTCCCCGCGGTGACAAAATTTTTGCATTGTGATTTGACGCCACAAAATTGGCACCAAATACGTCAACACCAGAATTGATGTCATATTATAATTAGGCTTACAAAAACCCTTACAAGTGGGCGTATACCAAAAACTGGTGAGAGAAAGTTGTGACGCAAAAACGGCACCAACGTGCCGTCGAACAGCGTCATAGGGGTCCGAAATGATGTCGGAGCTAAAAACGAATGTCATATTCATAATCAGGACACCTGATAACCCTTGTAGTCGAAGTTTCCAAGAAAATCAAGATTTTGACCCAACTTCGAAAAATTGCTCCATGAGCACTCGTACATATCTGTAGCACGTCAAGCTCGACGACGAACTTCTTGGAAATAACCTCTTCTAGATCCCTCAAGAAATGAAATGTTCCTACCGAAGAGACAATAGCAGACATGCAAGCTGATGGTGGTCGAGGGGGGGGGTTGCGGGGCCACACAAAATGCAGTAGTTTCTGCTAGTTTTTCCGCGTGAAGCACGCCTTCAAGCGACTGGGAATATGTGAAGAGTTACTTATGTTTGGTGCAAATTTTCGAAGTTTGGTCAGAGATGCGATTTTCCTCAAAACTTCGGGTATAGAGGTAAATCAGTGCTCTGGTCACGAATATGGCATTGTTTTTTGGAGCCGCCGCTATCTGGCGCCATTTCGACGTTACAACTTTTTTTGCCTGCTTTCGGTGAAAACTTACCTCATTGGGTTATTAATGGTTCTGGTCTTGAATAAGACATCTATTTTGACATTAGTGCAATTTGGAGCCATTCTGGAAGTGCCAACAGAAAATGCAAAAATTTCGCCGCCTCGGGGATCCGAACCACCAACCCCGACCAAGCGTGCCAATTGAAGTCCACATCGCTAACCACTACACCACCGACGCTGCCGAATGTGAGTAGCCAAATGCTCTATGAAACTTCCACACGCTCTTCAGTACATAGCATGACATCACTACGACAACTTTCCAATTTTGGCCAAACTTCGCGTTGTTTTCGATACAGAGCTTGCGAGAACCCTTCATTATGCAAGCAGTCCACGCCATGAATGAAACACACCACGGTGAGTGTGTAAAAACTGCAGTATCCGACGAAATTATTTTCACTCCTTTTTTGAGCCATTCAGCGGAAATGGACCACAGTTCTGTACTCCATGCACATCCCTCTATATCATGCAAAAAACCGTTTTGAGAAAGCGCGGGTCCACCTGAAAGACCTCCCCGTTGGAGCGTTGCAGGCGAGTGGGCGAGTAAGCGATTAGGCGATTTGGCGAGTAGGCGAGTAGGCGAGTAGGCGATAGGCGATCGCCCAATGGGCGGAGCAACAATCAATCGCACCCTCCTCTTATCGTCGCACTGCCTACAGCCTATATCGGCCTAGTCGATCAACATACCCTTCATATCGCCCACCTGCGCGCTATTCCCTAATCGCAACTAATCGCTTTACGACGCCAAACTATGAGGCGCCATAAGAGAATTCAAGGTGGCCGAAGTCTTGTAGAATACAAGCTCTACAGCTTCTTCTTTTTGTGCTAGCCATCAGTGTATCACTAACTTATGTTCTGTTTGAAATACCAGATTAGTCCCCCGTCAACCGCCGGGACCTTCCTTTAATGCGCAAGCTTTCTATCCTCCGCTATGGTCCCTTCCTCCTGTGACACCAACACCTCCTGGAAGTGACGCGTATGCAACACAATGGTGTTTCATACAGTAGAAGGGACACAATCATGATATGACGGTAGATTTTTCGCTTCCCTTCCTCATCCTCCCTTCCTCTCTCCACTGCCCTCCAGCTGCCACTGCAGCACCATGTGGAATGAACGGAAGTGTGCTAAGCAGGTGTTTATATAGCCCTAAGAGTGTTATCACAACTATCCTGCTACAAAACATTGATATCTCAAATCCTGTAAGCTACCCGATTTGTTAGCGGTTTGTTTATCCCATGAGCTTCCTTCTCACTCACTTCATTTTGCGGACGGACACACATACATACATACACACACACGCACACACACATACAGATACACAAACCGCACACTCGACACATGCTGGACAAAGTTATCGTTTAGTGATAACTAGAAGGATTCTAGATAGGGCACTACGGTCGAATACGCTACAAACCGACGCTTACGGAACGACAATTATGGGTTGAGTCAGAGGGGTCCAGTCATACATGTATAAATGGTGCCGCTGCAGTCACGAAGCCACACTCTTCTATTTCCTACTTGTACGGTCTCATAGTACTTACGTATCCCACCGTTTTGACACGTTGACTAAACGTAGTAACAATCGAGAATTTAAATTTTTAATATGATAAGTATTCAGAATGTAAGGGCATTTGTGTCACATGGTGGCCTGAGTACGTAGTCTGGAGGCATATTTTTTATTGGTGTAACAAGCCTCCCCTCGCAGCAATGATCCCCAAAAAGCAGAGAACGCGCCGCGCTAGCTAGAGCGATCGCGACCTAGTCTAAATATTTAAAGTCGAGAAGTAGATTAGAGTAGGCGAACAGTGAGAGCTTA